AAATTTAATTCCACTTGTTATCATTATCTTTTAAATTTGACCAGAGAGTGAGAGAGAGAGAGAGAAAGGGAAAACAAGAAAGCAAGTCTCCAGGTCAAGGATTCAAATCATATGGAAGTCCAGCACCTTAAGCACCACACCACTTGCCAGCCCATTGTTATTTTTTAATTTGCTCTGTGCTCACCAGAGGGAGAAAGAGAAAGACACACACACACACACACACAGAGAGAGAGAGAGAGAGAGACAGTGAGAAAGCAGCTCTCCAGGTCTGGGACTTGAACAATGGTCAGCCATGTGGGAGTTCAGCTCCTCAACCACCACACCTACCTACTGGCCCTTCAGCTTTTGCCTTTGTCTCCTTTGTCTCAGAGAGAATGCTGCTCTGAGACCACTATGTAAAGAAACAGGTTTAGATCTCTGGAAGATGAGGCCTATGTGGAGCCCGAAGCTAGCTCTAACTGCCATAGTGCTGGGGGGCCATCTTGAATTTTCCTGCTCAGCCCACCTGTTAGCTGAATGCAGCCACAAGTGAGCTCGGGTGAAAATAGCAGAGGAACTTTCAGCCAGTTCACAGAATCGTGATTTCAAAGGTGGTTTTAAAGTTGGTCAGTGATACAGTGGTACCACAACATTGCAGTCCTGGAACCACACAGGAAGGTCCCAGGTCTGCATACCAAGGCCTCCTGAACACTCCAGGCATGTACACGTGCCTGTGATCCTGGCTAGCTGAGGCTGGGGATGGATCATGGCATGAAGATGCTATTGTGGTTGACTGTTTCTCTTTGTCTCATAAAATAAATAAACTTAAATAAAAGTTTTCAAGGCCAGCAGGTGGTGTGGTGGTTAAGGTGACTGGATCGCACCTGGCCAACTGTGCAGTTCAAGTCTCAGACCTGGCAGCTTGAAAAATATGCTAGGGGGACTGGCAGGTGGCATAGTGGTTAAAAGTGCTGGACTCCCATATGACTCCCATATGACGGACCATAGTTCAAGTCCTGGACCTGGTGGCTTGCTTGCTCACTTTCTCTTTCTCTGTCTCTGTCTGGTCCAAATTTAAAAACATAATAATTAACAAATGGAAATAAATAAATAAATATTTTAAGAAAGAAAAATTCGTTAGGGGGGCCAGCAGTTGGCATGGTGGACTCCCACATGGCTGACAGGGGTTCGAAAACAGGACCTGGTGGCTTGCTTTCTCACTTTCCCTCTCTTTCTCACTCTGTCCTTCTCTGGTCAAATTAAAATAAATAAATAAAGTTAAATAAAATAATTCTTAAAAAAAAAAAAGCCAACAAAATGCTAGGACTATATGCATGTATGCCCAAAGTCCTGAGAGAAGAATGAAGGAGAAGGGATTGTGTCATGCCCATGCACTCTGACGCGTACTTTCTCACTCCCACCCTGTTCTCTGTCTCCAGGAAGAAGATGTGCCCTATAAAAATGAAAAAAAATTTTTTTTGTTTGTTTCAAGCCAATACTAGGGTAATTTGTTGTGTATCGGTGATCGAGATCATTGGTAGAGGGTTTTCTACTGTTCTTAGGATATAGGTGACATTCTAAGGTGCCATGTAAGAAAGGTCCTGTTTGCTCTGAACCACCGTGTCTCCCATTCTGCTTCTGTTTCCCTCTCTGGACACTCAGCTTTGGAGAACTTTGGTTTGCACGTTCCTTTCTGCCAGGGACCTTGCGCGTGCTGTTCCCCTAACCCTCTCTCTTTCACCTTATTAACACCTACTCGTCCTTCAGCTCTCAGTGCAGCCTTTCCATGGCAGATACCCAGCGTGCACTCTGGTGACACTGTGTGCTTTCCTCTGGACTTTGACAACTGAAGTTTGCATTCGTGCGGTGGTGACCCGTCTCTGCCATCAGTAAGCTGCACTTAGGTTGTCCCGAGTCTGGTTTTATTCACCACTGTGTCCCTGTACCATACTATTGTAGGACTCAAACAAATACTTGTTAAATTAATGAAGTGAGTTATAAATACAGCAACTTTTATATAGAAAGGAGGTGTGATAATAAAGGAAGGTCTTTTGTTTGTTTTTCAGTTTACCAGAGGGTGGATAAATGGGGGGAGAGGAGAAGTGGGAAAAGACTTCTAGACCTGACAGTTCACTTTCTCACTCTTCCTCTCCCTCTGGTCAAAATAATGATGATGATGATAAATACAATTAAATAATTATTTTTTAAAGAGAGAGAGAGAGAAGAAATTACCCTTCCCTGGGGCAAAGTCACATTGTAATCCTTTCCCTTCTGTTGCTCTCTCCTTTTGGGATTTTAAGCATGTCTGTGCCTGATCAGGGACTCAAACTATACAGCTGACCACAGCAGATCCAGCCACCTTAACCACAAGCCCTGAACTGGCCCTAAAGTGTCGCAACCCAGGGGACAGTCCAACAGGTTTCCTGAGGGAAGGAGTGAGAGATGGGGATGCAGTGTTACAACTCTTCAGGGTCCTCCATTTAGCACGGAGACGACACAGTGTTACAACTCTTCAGGGTCATCTGGAGACAACGCAGTGTCACAGCTCTTCAGGATCTTCAGGGTCGTCTGGAGACTGTGGGCCAGGGATCGTGGTTATATACATGTTGGTGGGCCGTGATTGGTTTAAAAGGTGTGTTATGATTGGTTGTAAAAGGTGGGTTATGATTGGTTGCTTTGTGGACCAATCATGAGGTGCCGGGTATGCAAAGCTGAGGGATTCTAGTGGCCAATCAGAGTATGGTTTTGAAGGTGAGGTTTTGAAGGGAAGCCAATCATGGCTTTTGGCATTGTGCAATTGTTTGCTCTCTGAGAAACTGGCGGTATTCGCTGGTTTGCAGCCCCCCACACTAGAGAAATTTTTCTTTTTCTTTTTTAACAAGAAGTTTTTAAATTGCCTCTGAAGGTAATTCTAAGAGGATTTTTAAAAAAACCTTTTGAACAATGAGAGAAACATCATTAAAAATAAGTTCATTATTGACCCAGTCATGGTAACACATGTGAGACCCTGCTGCTGAGGAGGCTGAGGCCACATAGAAGACCTAGGTTCAATTCCTCACTTCAGCCCACTCAAAAAAGCTGGGTTTGGGGACCAGCAGATGGAGTAGTGGTTACATTGCTGGACCCCCACATGGCCAACTGCGGTTCAAGTCCCAGGCCCGGTGGCTTCAAAACTCACTCTGGGTGCGTATGCATGTGTGTGCTCAAAATCCTGGGAAGAGAATGGAGAAGAAGGGATTGCAGCATGGCATTCCCACCAGGGGTGATTTCTGGCTTTCTGTCTCTGCCTGTCTCTCTGGCAAGCGTACGCACCCTATAGCAAAAATCTCTCCCCAAAACCAAAAAGCTGTGTTTGGCAGTGTGCACATGTAGTCCCAGCTATTCAGGGGGCTCAGGCAGGAGGATTGCAACATAGTGAGATCCTGTCTAAAAAATGCACCACACATACAAATTAAATAAAAATAAGTGCATAATCCTCCACAATAACTATTTTAAGAGAATACTATTTTGGATTGATAAAATTCTCGTATGTTTGTTACAGAATAGCTAATCATAGTTTAGTCAGACATCTTACTCTGTTGCCTCCACTCTTCCAACATGAGTGGGAGATGACAGGGAGGGAGGAAGGTACTCATTAGTTGATCCGGCTGGTTGCTAATCCAGTAAAGGGCATGCTGCCGACTTCGTTTTTGGAATTGGTTTTACTCGGCTCTCCCAGCTTCAGGATGAGGACGGGTACTGGGAAGATGGAGGCTGTATTTAAGGAAGGCAGGGCTCATGCTCTGGGAAGGTTGTACCTTTCCACCCACCTTCTGTCCCAGGGAAATCAGAGTTCTTTGGGGAAGAAGGGGCGATATCTGACACAGCCCCATTTGATTTCGCTTCCCTGCTACCTTTCACTTATTTTACTTTGAATTTCAAAAATTATTATTTCTAGAATTACTTAATTTTATTTGTTAATATTATTATTCTACTTGAGTAGAGAGAGACAGAGAGAGTGGGAGAGAGAGAAAGCAAACCACCAGGGCAGGGACTTGAACTATAGTCGGCCATGTGTGAGTCCAGTGCCTTAACCACCACCCCACCTGCTGGCCCCCAAAATTATGATTTTTAAAGTTGATTTATCTCATAGAGGGAGAAAGAGAGGATGAAGAGAGAGAGAGAGAGAAAGGCATCCCTAATAGGGTCTTCATGCCATGTTCTACCCCCAGCTTCAGCCAGTCCAGATCATGGGCATGTGTGTGCTTGACTTTCCTATGTGTGTGTGTTGGGGGGGGCAGTAGCATCACCACTGTGCCACCATCGGGACCCCCTTTTTGCTTTTCAGTGAATAACTCCTTTCTGTATGCCCTCAACCACAGACCAGTCTCCACTTTACCTCTCCTACACCAACTCTCAAAGCGTCAACCTCAGAACGGGTTATACACATATTTTTATTCTCCCACTCATCCACGAGAAAACCATCCATAGTTCTTGGTATATGTGTGGACATCAAGCAAGAAGGAAATGAGAAGTTGAGACAAGGAAAAATACATAGGTGATATAACTCTTAAGAATGAGGGTGTTGGGTCAGCAGATAGGGTAGTGGTTAAGGCGCTGGACTCCCACATGGTGGACCATGATTCGAGTCCTGGACCTGGTGGCTGGCTTTCTCACTTTGTCTGGTCAAATTAAAAACAGTAATAATGATGATAAATAAAATTAAACAATCCTCTTTAAAAAAAATAAAGGTGGCAGACAGCTGGATAACCTCATAAAAGAAGATGAACAAACTCTGAGAGTTGGTCTGGAGGTGCTAAGGAATGCGACAACTGCAGGAAGGAAACTGAGGCTGGGGATCCCAGTGCCTTTTGTCCCTGAGGAGAGTAGGGACTCCAGGAGCCTGAGGCCTGGGTCAGAGGTGAAGGAGAAATGGAGACTGGAGAAAAGGCTAGAACTGAGAACTTTCCATGGCAGGATGCAGAGGGCCATGCCTGAGACCACAGTGCTAACCAGCTCAACCCTGCAACTGTAGACACTGCGAGGATCAAGCTGAGATTTTATTTACAATTCCCTGGGAAGTCTTACAGAAGAGGGGCCATCATTATTGCTTTAAGATTATTGCCAGGAGGAAGACTGCAATCCTCCGCTGCCAGGAAAGACGGCCTGGCCTGCTCAAGGCTCCGAAGTCCATCCCCAGATCTTCTGTCAGCCCCATGTGTCCACTCGGAACCAGAGGCTGTCGCTAATTCCTGCAATGCAGGACCCAACCGTATTTTCCAAGGGCCTCCTTGGCCGCTTCTGCCGGACGGCGCTATCCACCCACAGTCCATTTCCCCTCTACGCGGTCAGTGCGGCGCATGGTGCTCGCCACCCTTACCCCCCGGCCTGTCCGCCAGAACCGAGGTTTCCACTAGTTCTAGTTTCAAGTCCTCCTCCACCTCTAGGGAGGCAGAGTCCTGGTTTCCCAAAGATGATCATTTCCTTCCTGCCAGGACCAGCCTGGCTTCCTTTGGACCGAATACCGGTAGAGCCAATTTCGGAGTCCCAGATGCCATCACAACTCATTTCTTAGGTTATTATCCCTTGATGACATTTCAAGGGCCACTTTTGAGGTACTCTGCGTATTTCTTGTGTCTGCTGCTTTTTCCCCCTGGGCCTCAGTAACAGGGGGGACAGAGATGGGAGACCAAGTGGCAGAAGAGGAATGGCCCGAAGCTCATGCCCGGGATTAGCAAGAAGGCCTAGAAGGACGCAGCAAGGGGCGGGCGGACTACTTTCTCTCTCAAGCCCCCACTGCGGGAGGATATGGCTTTGTTCATGCGTATCTCTACTCGAAGCCGGGACTCGTTAGTGGGCGGGGCTACCCTGGCTGGGCCGCTGCGTGGAGGGATCCGGAGCGGGAGAGGCGGCTGCAAGGAAGCGGGAGTCCGGGTGCAGCGGCTCCGGGTTGGGTCCCTGCGCCCCCCACGGACTATTTCTTGGGATGCGGTTTGTTCCCCAGGAGCCCGTCTATCTCCATCACTGTCTGCGGGGTCAGCTGGCTCAACACCTGGAGGAGAATGGGGTTTTGGAGAGGGCAGTACTGGGTCATGGAGGAAGGGCATGGGATTGGAGGATTTGGGGAAGCACCACGACGGGGCCAAGTGGCAAGGAATAGTAGCAGCTGTGCCTCTGTCTCACCTGGTAGCCTGGGACCTCTCACCTGCGAGGACTTTGTAGTGGGTGACCTCACAGGGCCATTCTGTGTTGGACAGCCTGACCTTGAGAAGGATAGAGGTAGGCTCTGCCTCTGAGACTCCAGCTCACCTGCAGGGCGCCCAGGTGCTCTATCAGCTGTTCGGCGCTCGACACCCCCAGCAAGACGGAGCTGACACCCTCACTGCGGAGACACCATGCTGGGGCCAGAGGAGGCAAAAAAAGAGTACAGCATGGAGATAGTGAATGCATAGACTTCAAAAGGGTTTCTGAAGAAAGGGTCCCCTCAGGGACAAACCAGTCTTAGGATAGGTTCTGGAGGGTCTCAGGAGGAGACAGGAGCCCTGCAGGGTTGGGGGCTGGTAGTGCCTCACCAATAGCAAGCTGTGCCACGGTGCAACCCAGCTGGTGAGCAATGGGGAGAAGATCCATGACTTTGGCTTGTTGCTTCTTGCCATCCTCACTCTGCACTTTATCCTTGAGCCATGGGTAGCCCTGAAGGCCAAGGATAATCAGCAAAAGACACCACCACCACTCACACACACACAGAACACCCAGGTAGCCCAACCCTGCCATCCTGCCTCCGGCTCTCACCTTGACGGTGGTCCTGCAGGAATCTGGGGCTCGCCCATCATACTTGCTGGTGATGAGGCCACAGGCCAGAGGGGACCACGTGACTGAGCCAACGCCTAAGACGAAGAGGAATGGGGTTGGGGAAGGGGGCCTAGGACACAGATGAAGCAGGGGGTGGTAGGGATGAGGTGGCTGCAAACCAATCTTGTGGTAGAGCTCTGGCAGCTGCATCTCCACCTTCTCCCTCTGGAACAGGTGGTGCTCAGCTTGTTCGCACACCGGCGGGATCAGATTGAACTGTCTGGCCATGGAGTAGGCCTCCTGAGTTGGGGTGGAGAAGACATAGGAGTCAGAGAATGCCCCCATCTTCTTCCCCACCCTCCTTACCACCCACCTCGCCCGGTGCAGAGGAGTGGCCACAAGAAAAGTGGGATCCACTTTCGGGATGGAGGAGGTGCTGCTGAACACTCACCATGATTTCTGCAGCCCCCCATCGGGATGTCCCCCAGTATAGGGCGAGGCCCTGGTTGATGACGTAGGTCATGGCTCGCACAATCTCTAGGCACATGGGAGAGAGAGAGCCTCACTTGTCAGACCTCTGCCTGCCCCACCAAGGCCCTAGGCCTCTTTGTGGAGACAGAGATTTATATCTGTCATTTCCCTCCCTCCATGTCCAAGTCCTGGGGTCTGAGCTTCCACCATGGAGCCTGGAAGCCTGAGCAGAGACTGGCTTCCTGCTGAGGGATTGTGGAAGTGCTTGGCTGTGTAGTGAAGGACTGTCGGATTTTACCCTCCATAGGGCTGTTGGGGTCTGAGCGATTGGCGAAAACGATGTCTACATATCCCAGCTGTAGGCGTTCCAGGGAACCTCTCAGTCCTGGAGGTGGGGCGAGGAGAGGAAGATAAGCACTCAAGTTCAGTCTACTAAGAATCTAGAACTTCCCTCCTGGCTGTGGCCACCTAAATCCTTATTCAAAAACCCCTATTCCAAGCTTTAGAGAATGTTCCCAGCTCCTCTGGCTTCTTCTTTTTTTTTTTTTTTGGAAAGGTTTTTGCTATAGGGCGTGTGCCCTCGCCAGACAGACAGAGAGAGACAGAGAGACAGAAAGTGAGAAATCACCCCCCAGGGGAGATGGTCATGCTGCAATCCCTTCTCCTCCATTCTCCTCTCAGGATCTTGGACACGCACGCACACGCGCCTGGTGCGAGTTTTAAGCCACCGGGTCCGGGACGCAAACCGCAGTCAACTACATGGGAATCTAGCGACATAGCCATTACGCTAACTGCTGGTCCCGCCAGCTCCTCTGGCTTCTATACCCAGCCACTTGAGATTCCCCACTCCTGATTCTTACCCTCGATGATGTGTTTGCGGCTCAGGCCTCGCTCAGTTTCTGCCCTGTAGGAAAAGGGAAGTGAACGCTGGGATGCGAGGAAGACGGAAACCAGGGCTGGCCTAGAACCACGAGGAGCTAGGACTGCACAGGTCCTCACAGGCCGGATGTGCAGGGCAGCTGTCCCGTCCCCAACCCATCCACTGTCACACGTTCTTTGCAGGTCTTCCACAAAGAATCGTAACGGGGCAGCCACTTACTGTCCTCCCCAAAAAATCTTGGTGGTGATGACATAGCTTGATCTCCTGGGAAAAGAGAAATGAGAGAACCAGCAAGAAAAGGGCTGTTGGGTGATCATGTTCTCGGCAACACCCACCCCCAACAAAACATAGTCTCACCTCCAACCTTTGCTCTTGAGGATGTTGCCTAGGGTTCTTTCTGCCCTGGAAGAAAGACAATGCGGAAGCCCTGACCCCTCCAAGGTGATCAATTTCTTCCCCTCCTCCCGACCTCTTCCTCTCTTCTAAAGTTGAGCACAACAGACCAGGAGCCCGTTTGGGCTCCCGACCCCACTCTGAACTACGAGGGGCTCCTGGAACAAGGAGTGTAGTTGTATAGTTCACATTCAGTGATGTGAGTGGTGCGTCAACTGAGCCAAGTCCTTTTCCGGGTGCTAGAGGGGTAGAACAGGCTGAGGGGACAGGTGCAGACTGCAGTGGAACCAGGGAAGACACCAGGCTTGAAGCACCTGGGTTGCCCTCTCCCCTTCTTTTTTTTCAAGAGATTTTTGCCTTACAGAGCGTGCCCTCATTGGAGTGGGAGGGAGTAAGGAATGACCCCCCAGGGGGGTGGCCATGCCACAATCCCTTCTCCTCCATTCTCCTCCCAGGATCTTGGGCACACATACACACATGCCCAGAATGTGTTTTCAAACCACTGGGTCTGAGACTTGAACTGCAGTCGGCCATGTGAGAGTCCAGCGATATAACCTCTACGCCATCTGCTGGCCTTGCCCTCTCCATTCTTTGAGCCTCTGCAAAATCCCATCCATCCTCCAAAACTCAGTTTGGAGTCTGCTTCATCCATAAAATGTTCTTTGCTTGTCTCTGTAGAATTTGCTAGAACATTTTGAGCTAACTCGTGACAAATCTTAAATTATTATAGTGGACTCTTTTCTTTTAGAGAGAGATTTTTTTGCTATAGGGCACATGCACTTGCCAGAGACAGAGAAAGTGAGAAATACCCCCCAAGATGGCCATGTCACAATCCCTCCTCCATTCTCCTCTTGGGATTTGGGGCACGCACATGCATGCACCCAGCATGTTTCAAGTCACTGGGTCCAGGACTTGAACCACAGTGGGCCATGTGGGAGTCCAGCACCTTAACCACTATGACACCTGCAGGCCTCTATTATAACAGAGTCTTACTGAAATGTGTTTCTGCTGTCCAATCTCTCTTGTTTCTTTTATTTTTAATTACTAAGACTGTGCATTTTTTTTCTTTTTTTTTTTTGAGAGGTTTTTTGCTATAGGGCGCATGTGCTCACCAGACAGACAGAGAGAGACATAGAGACAGAAAGCGAGAAATCACCCCCCAGGGGGGATGGTCACGCCGCAATCCCTTCTCCTCCATTCTCCTCTCGGGATCTTGGGCACGCACGCACATGCGCCTGGTGTGAGTTTTAAGCCACCGGGTCCGGGACGCGAACCGTGGTCGACTACGTGGGAATCCAGCGACATAGCCATTATGCTAACTGCTGGTTCCCAAGACTGTGCATTTTTTGAAGGCATATTGGTTTTATCCCAGAAGCAGTGCCTATTCTCTGCTAAGCTCCTTACAAGTGACATGGAGAAGACCAAGACAAGTTGAATGGAGGAAGCAGCCTTGGAACTGAGCAGCGAGTATGGCTGCTTAAGCCAGTAATTAATTCTGTGTCTGAAGGTCATCTAAAATGCTCTGGAAGCTTGTAGAGGGTGGTGGCCAACTTTGGGGAACTGGGTGAAGGCTTCTTGGAAGAGCTGACATTTGGGCAAGGTCTTGAAGATGAGTAGAAGTGTCTGCCAGATGATGAAGAGGCAGGGGGTAGGTCATCCTAGGTTTGGGTTACTTGCAGTGTGAAGCCATGGGTGTGTGACGTGGCATGATGTGTTTGAAAATTCAGCTTTGTAATCCTCATATGGTTGCACATAACTGATTCCCACAACTTAGTTTTGGTTTTATTCAATGTGACGGCAAGTATGCTCATTGACCTCTAAGCCAGGGAGGGACTGATGTTAGGACTACAGCTCCCATAATGCACTGGGCCCATTAGCTGAAAGATTGAATCTTCCCATTCTCAGAACTCCCAGGGTTCTTTAGAGGGAAAACCAGAAACCCTGAAGTTCTTTCAGCCTTTTAAATGGAACTTAGCTCTTTCACCCCAGTCCTTACTTTCCTGCTGCATATACTTCAGCCGTGTCAAACAGGTTCACGCCATGCTCATAGGCTACTGTCAGCACATCCTCTGCTGTCTAGGGAGGTGAGAGAAAGTTGAAGATCAGCCCCTGCCACTCAGTCACCTCCCTCAATGCACTCTAACTCATCCCTCCTCGGCCCTGGTTTCCACATGTTTTCCCCTTTCCCCATCCTCCAGCCTCAGATCTCTCACTTTCCCTGGCTTAAACTTCTACCCAGGTTCATTTTTCTTTCCCCATGCTGGCTTAAACTTCTACCCAGGTTCATTTTTCTTCTCACCCCCCTCTCACTCTGCTTCTAGGTCCCCTCATTTATACCTCATCAGAGATCTGAGAACCAAATGTGACCCAGGTCCCTGTAAGAGAGAAGCCAAGCATGTGATTACCATGGGAGACAGGACATGGAAGAATGCCCACTTCCTGCAATCCCCGTTCTGACTCACCCAGGCCAAGACAGGATACCCGAAGACCAGACTTTCCTAGGTTCCTGCAGGATCCAGAAGCAGCAGGAAAGGGTGGAGCCTCCATTAGGGACCTAGATTGTCAGCCCCCAACTCCTCTCCTTCCAGACTGAGATGCCCTCAGGGAGTCTCAGTCCAAAGAATCTAGACCCACTGGGCCTACAGGATAGGGCAGTGCCATCCCCATAGCAGAGGCCCTAGGAATATTTCCGGAGGAGTAAGTACACATAGACTGTTCCCTTGGAGTCATTGCCCAATGCCTCTGTTCCTTCCTGTCACACTGAAGATGTGCTGTCTGGTGTGTGTTTCTTTCAGGTAGTGGGGGTCTTGTCTGTGTTTAAGTCATCTCTGGGAGGGTGGAGTGGGGTTAAGGAGGTAAGAGTTAAAGAGGGAGCTTAGAGGCATCCCTTGAGTCTGCTGGGAGGAATGTGGCTGGCTGATTGTGGCGAGTCTTCAAGAACAGACCCTCAGACAGTGCTTTTCAGGTGAAAAAGGTAAACCAAGTCGAGTTCTGGCACTCAGGCAGGCAACAGTGCCCGGCTAAGCTAGGCAGGTGGGCAGATGGCCCTCCAGCGAAGGCAGATAGGAGACCTGGAGTGAGTACGCAGGCTGGGAAAGCCCAGTCGTCCTTCCCCTCTGCATTCTCTCTGCTCCTATTGGCTCGTGAAGACTGTCTCGGACCAATGAGACCCCTCCTCCTCCCAAGATCCCCCACCCAGGTTTCTGACTCAGCTTCCCCAACAGGGCTGCCACAAGGAGGGGATCAGATTCCTCAGGTGACAAAGCAGGTCAGGTCAGTGACCTCAGCTCACGCCCAAGGAGGACCCCCTCCCCTCCCCCCTGCTGAGGGTTCTGAGAGACCCCGGGCCCTGTAGGTCTCTGAGATAAAGTCAGTTACCTTCCTGTTCACCTCCCCCAGCCGCGGGCCCTCAGGTTGGTGCTGAAAAAAGTGGCCTGTGCTTCCCGCAAGCCCCACTCCTCTCAGCCCGGAGAAAGGTGGCCGGGGACCTGGCCCTGGGGCAGGTGTGGGCAGTATCTGGGTCAGGCACCCACAGCAGGCCAGCGTGAGATGCCGTTCCTCTCCCTCCTCTCCCCAGGACACGACCCAAGGACACTCCACTAGAGAGGGGCGCAGCCTGGGAATCCAGGCATCCCTGGCGTTGCTGGGGTCAAGGAGGGAAGCTCAGTGGCATCCCTTGGGTCTGACAGGACCCTGTCAACCTTGACAAACTTGATTCTCTCAGTCAGGGGTATCCAAGGAGACCAAGACAAGGACCAAGCAAAGGAGTGCCAGTGACGGGAAGAAGAAATGTAATGAACAGGGACCTTCTTAACGAAGTTTGAAGGGGTCTTGGTGGCTATCCCAGGAAGCCTACGGGGTCCCGAAAGAGGTGCGGATGAGGCGGGCTGCCCGGCCACCCCCATACCTGTATTTCATGCCAGTGCCTCGGCCGGTGCTCTCTCGGAGGGCCCCAGCGGGGGCTGGGGGTCGGGGGACCAGTGCGACTCGGGCCTTGGGGGCCGACCCTCCACCCCCCGGAGGATTCCCGTGCCCCCCACCGACCGGCCCTCCATTACCGCCCCCGGGACCCGGCCGGGGTCCACACAGACGGTCCTCACTGCTCCGGCTGCGAAGGTTCTGTTCGGTACACGCGATAGACACCTGCATGCCGGCTGGCCAGGATTAGGGGGAGTGGGCTCTAAGGGGGCAGGAGGAGGGAGCAGGGATCAGGGAAGCCCGAGGGCGGACACCCGGGTCGTAGTAGTGGGCCGAGCCCCGGGAAAACGGGAAGGCAGAGGAG